CGGGCTATGTTATTAAGGTGGAATCTACAGGATTTGGTAACAGACTGGATGTGAGGCTCAAATGTGAGGCCAGAATCAAGTTTAATGCCAAGACAGCGCGCTTGCAAGGATAGACTGATGTGGGTACCACTAACTTGAAGGGAGAGTGATCAGTATTAGGAGAAGGAAAGACAAGGAGTTCAGTTTTAGAGAGATTGAATTTCAAAAAGCGTGAGGACATCCAGTCAAAGATGGAAGAAAGGCAAACAGTGACACGTTGCAGGACAGCAGGGAAGAGGTCCGGGGAAGGAGAGGTATATCTGAGTGTCATCAGCTTACATGGTGGTATTGGAATCCAAATGAGGTAATAAGTTAGCCAAGAGAGGCAGTAGAAAGAGAAAATAGAAGGGGACCAAGTACAGAGCCTTGGGGTACTCCAACAGAGACAGGACAAAGGGAGGAGGTATCATTAGAAAAGGAGACACTGAATGAGCGTTGGGAGAGATAGGAGGAAAACTAAGAGAGGACAGTGTCACAGAGACCGAGTAATTGAAGAGTTTGGAGAAGGAGAACATAGTCAACAGTGTCAAAGGCAGCAGAGAAGTCAAGAAGAATTAGTATGGAGTAGTTCCCTTTGCATTTAGTTGTGATTAGGTTGTTAGTGACTTTAATAAGAGCAGTCTCAGTACAGTGGAGAGGGTGAAAGCCATACTGAAGAGGGTCACGGAGAGAGTTGAAATTGAGGAAACAAGTCAGACGGGTAAAGACCAGTCTCTCCAGAAGCTTTGAGGAAAAGGGGAGCAGGGATATGGGACGATAGTTAGATGGGGATGACGGGTCAAGAGATGGGGGTTTTTTTCAAGATGGGTACTACAGTAGCGTGTTTAAGTGCAGCAGGGACAACACCATAAGCGAGCAGTTGAAGTTTAAAATATTAGTGAAGGAGATTTGAGGAGGCTGCGAAGAAAACTAGGTGTGTGAAACCAGGCCTATCACAGGTTTCATAACTGCAACTGGCCATTACGTTACGTATGGCAATACATTTTGTATGACGTAACTGAAAATCCAATGTATGAGAAATCATATAATAATTACACACTTTACAGCATGAACTCAGGAGGTTGGGCAAGTCATGAAGTTTGGCCCAGAAAAGAGAAGATAAAGACCAAAGAGACGTTGAGTCAGCTTGTTGAACATAAGGCTAGCAAGGAATAGTGTACATGCATAGTGCACAGTGGAAGCTCTCACAGATGGGCTGAAGCTCTGTTTGCAGTGCACCTTGCATAGAATTAGTGTATAGGACAATCTGTACTTGTGGGCAATTCCCTGGTGTTCCCAATAATGAGACACAAGGAAACAAACCCAGATGGAAGGACCCAAAATTTTGGACTATCCCACTAAAACCTGATCTGTTGGCATTTGCGTATTCATTTCAAATACATTTATTTTAGGTTAAAGTGTGAATGTTACTTTGGAGAATTTTGGACAAGCAGATAGCTAACTAATAGTTAGCTGTGAGTGGTCCTATAAAAATAAAATAATAATAATATACATTGACTATTTGGGTGGCTGGTCACAGCCAGGGTGAGATACATAATGAAATAAAGTGCATTACTGAGAGAATTATCAAGCATGCATTGAAGTGTAACAGATGTAAATGTTTTTTGTTTGTTTTTTCTCTCTGTTATATTATCCACCCTAGTAAACAACCTATCAGAATATCCTCTTAAGGATGAACTATCTTTTCTAGGAACATTCTAGTTCTGTTTAAAGGCACATTACTGTGAGTAGTGCTGCTGTAAAGTCCTTTTTATCAAGGGGGAAAAAGACGAACTAAGGGCTTTGAGTCCAAAACAGGCATTATTAAAGGACCACTATAGTGCCAGGAAAACATACTCGTTTTCCTGGCACTATAGTGCCCTGAGGGTGCCCCCACCCTCAGGGTCCCCCTCTGGCCAGGCTCTAGGGGGTGGAAGGGGTTAAACTTACCTCTTTCTCCAGCGCCGGGTGGGGAGCTCTCCTCCTCCTCTTCTTCCGTCACTGGCTGAATGCACATGCGCGGCAAGATCCACGCGCACATTCAGCCAGTCCATAGGCAGGGGCGTACCTAGAGCATTTGGCACCCGGGGCGGATCCTGTGCTGCCCCCCACCCCCAAAAAAAACCTGTAAAAATGTTAAAGGTTTTATTTCTTTTATTTTTACAATTTGTAAACTTTGCAAAACCGCTGTCAGCCCCTCCTACAAAACCCTTGTCCTGCCCTGCCCCTCCTACAAAACCTCTGTCCTGCCCCTTCTACAAATCCTGTACTGCCCCATCTACAAAACCCCCGCAACCCCCTTCCACAAATCCCCTGCTTATCCCCCCTTATAAAGACTCCTGTCCCAATACAAAAACCCCACCCCCTTCTACAAAATCCCTGCAGCCCTACACACACACATTTACAGGCAGACAGTCACACACTCAGTTACAGACAGACAGTCACACACTCAGTTACAGACAGACAGTCACACATACACATTTCCTCCGTGCGGCCAGTTTATCAGCTGTTTGCTTGAGTGAGCTGTACTGGCCGCACGGCACCCTAACTACCATGGGACACTGTGCGGCCACAGCTCACACAGCCCCCTCCAGCCAGGGCCGGTACAAGGATTTTTGCCGCCCTAGGCAAAAGTAAAGTTTGCCGCCCCCCATGTGACATGACAATGCCCCAACCATATGATTTGCCATGTTAACTAACGCCAGTGCTGCAGTGCCGCCGTGTTTACATTAAAAGGCCTGCAGGGACAGGCTATAGACACCAGAACCACTACATTAAGCTGAAGTGGTTCTGGGGACTATAGTGTTTCTTTAATGTGAGGTAAATTAGAGCTTAGTGCCACGAATAATATACTAGATTGCCTACTTACAACCAGATGAGGATGATGATGGGCTCTAGCTGCAGTCTGGCTCCACTGGTCTGGTGCAGAACAGGCTCTCTGGAGGCGGTTTGTAACTGTGGTCACAAAAATCAATGTTCTGGGAGAACGGGAAGCAGCTCCATTTTTTGGGGGTCCTTTACACAGATCAAGGTCTGGGTCCCAGGGTCCACCTTCATGTTCCACCAATGAGTTTGTTCACAGGGGGTGGAGTGTGTAGGGGATGTCCTGATATGTGTGTAAGGAATGCATTGTGTGAAATTGTGTTTGTATGTGTAAGGACTGCAAGGTGTGTTTCTGTGTATGTATGGGATGCATTGAATGTGTGTAAGGGGTGCATTGAGTGTGTGTAATGAATGCATTGTGTGTTTCTGTGTGTGTAAGGGATGCATTGTGTGTAACGGTTGCATTGCTTGTGTATGTGTGTCTGTGTGTTTTTCTGTGTGCAAGGGGTGCATTGTGTGTATGTGATGAATGTCAATCTCTCCTCCCGCTCCAATTTCCTTCTCCTCCTCCCAATTTCTCTTTCTCACCCACCCCCCCTTTTCTCTTTCTCACCCCCCCTTATTTCTCTTTCTCACCCCCCTTATTTATCTTTCTCACCCCCCCTCCTATTTTCTCTCACCCCCCCTTCTTTCTCACCCCCCCTTATTTCTCTTTCTCACCCCCCTCCTATTTTCTCTCACCCCCCTTTTCTCTTTCTCACCCACCCCCTTATTTCTCTCTCACCCCTTATTTCTCTCTCACCCCCTTATTTCTCTCTCACCCCCTATTTCTCTTTCTCACCCCTTATTTCTCTTTCTCCCCCTTATTTCTCTCTCACCCCTTATTTCTTTCTCACTTACTTATTTTCTTTTTCTCACCTCTACTTACTTATTTATTTTTCTCACCCTCTCCTTATATTTCTTTTCTCACCCCTCTCCTCACCCCTTATTTCTTTTCTCACCCCTCTCCTCCTTGTATTTCTCTTTCTCACCCCTTATTTCTTTTCTC